AAACATCTTGGGATCCTTAACTGTTTTTCAAAGAAAAAGTATTCTCTTAGGTGCATGATACATTTCAATGAGTACCCTGAAACAAGAGGAAGGTGAGCATATTTATTAGGGTAAAAATGGAACTCCTGATTTCCTCAGGTGCTTTAAAGAGCTTGCAAGCAATATGGTAATAGGGAGTACAAAGGTTTTTTTGATGCTTGTTCACAGCTATAATTCTTTGGTGAGATATAATGAGGTACTGACAAGGGCCAGAGATTTCCCGGGCTAGTTCTGATAGATTTTCTTTTTCTCTCTCTGGCACGGGACAAGAGGGGCCTGGGCCAGGGTTGCTGTTTGAGTCCCGGTTCGGGTTTTGAGCTTTCAGCCCTTCTTTGAACATGCGTCTGTTAGGTCAGGTGAAGGAATGAAGGGGGGACTTCCTTCTGGTTTGTAATTCACAGATTTATTCTGTAAGGGGAAATCCAGGAGAAAAGACAAAGAACGGGGGTCTGATCGTCACCTTTTAAAGGGTTCATGCCCTGCGGGGCTGGGAATTTTAAGAACCAGTTAGAAGTTACAGCTGGTGGGCACACTAACTTTCTACGAATAAAATACCAACAGGTAAAGATAAGCGGTAACGGACATGGGAATACTCTAATTAATTTCTGAGGATTAGGGTTTTTTTCACAGGCGGGGTGGAGCCGCAGGAGAAAGGGGGAGAGATCGGGCCACCTGAGCCTCTGCCACTGGGACACGAGGAAGCACGGGTAAAAGCGGCAGAGACACCGCGCCGGGGCCGGAGTAACAAAAAGCGAATCCCCCGCGGAGGCGAGGACGGCCCGCAGCGGGACTGGGGCAGGGCTGGAGCGCCGCAGGGGAAAACCAGCAAGCCGCAAGGTAACGCCGGCTCCGGGGCCCCGACAACAAAGGAGCAGGTGTTCCTCAGCTGTCCGGGCCGCCCGGAGGGAAAACCGAAGTGTACCCAGCACGGGGAGAAACACGAGCTGAAGCCGGAGCCCGGGCTCAGGCGGGCTGGGGCCTGCGTGAGCGAGCCCGCTGCGGGGTAAGGCGGCGGTGAGGGCCCCTCGGTGCACCCGGCGCGGGACAGCGGCCTGCGGTGCCGGCAGCCACAGCCCCCCGCGGGCGGCGGGGAGCGGCGGGGAGAACCCGGCAGAAGCTTTAATCGCGGCAGCGAGGGGGATGGGCGTACACCCCAGCCACGGTCGAAGGGAAATAAGCCTCCAACCTAGCTGGCAAACTAAAAAGCCCACCACAACAAGGTACAGTGAAAAGGAAAACAACTGCTGCTGTTTTATTAACTTACCCTGTTGGACGGCTGGAATTTCAGGGATTAGGCCTGTGTGTTACGCAAAGTGTGAAGTTTATGAAGAATCTGTCTTTCTGCCCTATTCTTTTATTCCTATTTCTTTTGTTTCTCCCCCCACACCTTATATTATCTTCCTATAGCTTTCCTACCAGGCACTTGAAAGACTGAAAACTATCCTCCCTTTCTTAAATCGAATATTATGTACTATAATATATTGTCCTTTGCTTAGATTGTTATCTACAGAGGTTTGTGTAGCTTTTGAAGTTCTCTTAGATGTGGAAATGCTTCACATATTCTGAATACTAAAGGCAAAAGCAGGGATTTCCCACTCCCATATCAGCATTTATTATCATTCATACTTGAGTAATAAATATCTCCACAAATTACCTGGCAAGCTGTAGCTGCAGGCATGTCAATAAAATCAAGAAATAAAAACTGTAATAGAAAAGACTTGTTCAACTATATTGGTCTATATCATATCAACTATATCGTATCAGCTATATGATACTCTTCAAGACCTTTAATTTGTGATCAAATTAGTATCAACAGAACTGGCTCTTGGGTGCATCTACAATTTCTCTCTGAACGTGATAAGGATGTCATTTAACATGTGAACTCAGAATAGTGAAACAATTCCATATCCTTGTATATCTGTAAGGAGTAAAATCAGTCTAATGGAAAAATATAAAACAAAGAAATCATTACAAAGAGGTTATTTGGAGTTGACCTTTGAAGTAAATTGAAGTTTAGGAAAGGAGATTGGAACAAAATCACAAGTTTTGCTCCCAAGTATAATCTTTGGGGTAGTCTTTTATTGTTTGTATAAAAAAAATGCCTACTTGATAATACAAGTCTTGCTTATGGCAGCCAGTTTGCTTCTAAAAAGCTCCTCAGTGCACACAGTTGCAAGAGACAGTGCCACAGGAAGACAAGTGTGACAAAAGAAAAAAAGTCAATTGAGAAAAAACCTCATGAAATGTCTTACCTGCGATTGCCAAGTTGCATTGACCTGGAGACATTTGACAGCACAGCCCTCAACAACCAAACTCAGCTTCCACCTCGGCTCAACAAAGCTCTCAGAGCACAGAGTTACAGGGAAGATCCAGTGTTATTATTTTCAACATGTACAGTAAACTCATTCCATAAATCTTAAGGATTCCTTCTGGTTTTGATGTCAAGAACAAATGCAGAGAATTCAGAGCACACTAGTGAGTTCTTTGAATATTGAAGCAAATTTTACAGGAGAAAAGAAAGCTTCTAAAAAAATGTGAGACAGAGGAATCAAACCTTTCAATTTCATCTGATTTGATTTTGCATCTGCAGAGTGGAGTTACAATTACACTGCAATACCTTAGTGAATGAGATCACAATTAAAGACACAAAGAGACATCCCATGCAGATTCTGTCCTCCAGAGTAGAACAGTGCAAGTAAGGCTAGCGTAATTAGAAGTGATTAGAAAGCTCCGGTAAAGGTTTACATCTGCTAAATATGAATGTAAAAAGATAAGGAAAAGGAGAAAACTTGAGGGAATTGTTGTCAGATACATGAAAAATTTCAGAAAAGGTCGACAGAAAAGCTGGTTTGGATACCTGAATATGCAGAGCTGACAGAGTTCATCAGTTGAATTCCTCCGCCACTGTAGCTCCTGTTTGAACTCTTGTGTATCCCTGGGCTTTCAGAGATTTGGTTTATTCAGTAAAATAAATAACATGGTGCGATTCTACCTTGAAAATTACTAGGATGTAACTGTATTTACAGCAGCTAAGAGAGAGCTATCAAAGGACAAAACAGTAGAAAAATTGATAAATTCTAGTCTCAGTCCTGAAATTATCTTGCTTTTTCAAATTCCAGCAGAGATAGCAACTGTTAGAGACTTTGAGAATAAGCTCATTCTTCCACATAGATGACATGATTTTCCTGCAGTAAATGTGAATTTACTAAACAGGTAATTTTAAAATTAATAAGAGATAATGTTCCAGGTATAGCCCTTAATACAATATAAAGAGTTTAAATGATTTGCTGAGAATCTAAAACTGCTCTGGGGGCAATTTCTGTCCTTTATACTGCACACACAAAGAATAGTTGGCAGAATATAATAGAGGCATTTTTCATTTTGTAAAAAACAGGGTAGATAGTGTGCCATTTAAGAAAAAGTATATCGTAAAGTACTGCTGTAAATATTGCATGGCATTATTCTGATTCAATATGACTGTGTAGATGCTATGAAAAGCAGCAGGAAAAAATATCTTTTTAAACACTATTAATCTGCCCGCTTTTGAAATTTTAAATATTTAAAGCAACATAAAGCCATTTTTTTCCTTCTGTAATCAGCTTTCTAGCTTGAATATCTCTTGGTTTTTTTTCCAGATTTACACTTGTGTTATTTATTTACTCTTATTTTTGGTTGTCACTGATGCTGCAGCTACTTATGCAGTAATAGAAAAGAGCTTTTCTTCTTACTAGGAAAAAAAAAATCCTTCATTTGGGTCTGAGATTGCCTCTTTCTGTGGTATTTAATTCCTTCTGCTCTCATGAGCATCCATTCAGATGGACTACGAAAAGTGCCTTGTTACAGTATTAAGACTTTTTATAATGTAGGTAATTTTATTTGCACAAGATGAGAAAGATTCTCTTTAATACAGCTAAACTTTTTTTTTTCAAAGATCAGGTTTAAAATATCTGTAGGACTCAACCACTCTCTGAAGTTAGAAATCTGTATTAGTATTTTTATCTTTATGAATCATTTTTCTATTTATTTGTGCCATAAAAATTCAGTGTTATTGCAGTGTCAATTTATAAATATTCATATAAATATAAATATTGCTTCCCTACTAAGAATGAAGTGCTCAGGGAGTGGCTCCTTCTCCCTTTTGTGTCTCATATTTCTGCAGACCCTTATATGCATAGGCATAGGCTCTTTTACAATAGAGTGTCTTTTTTAATACTTTGCTGAGGTGCACTTAGAAATACAAGATGATGTCAACATTTCTTATTTCATTTTGTTTCTGTCCTTCACCACACAGTCACCTGAATGTTGTGTGCACCTTTTATTTTTTTTCGAAGAATTAGATAAAATATTGTTGTTTTGAAGTTGTACTTGTCATTTGGAATCATCCAAGAAATAGTAGTCTACTACTCCATGTTAAATCAATTAATTTTCTATTAATACATAAATTAATTTTATATTATTACATCAACAATTGTTCTATTTTTAACAGTAGATACTTGAGTACACTTGAATATTTTTTCATTTTATTTTATTATTTTTTCTGAATTATTGAAATATTTTGCATGCAGTCTTCCAATTTAACAAAGCCATCTACTTACAGAATAATTTAATAGATACATATTTTTACAGTTTACCAAGTCTTTCATATTAAAATCAAGGTAATGTATAAATCTCTCACACAAAAATGTGTGTTCAGCATTTTATTCTTATACCTAGAAATATTTTATGTGCCCTCTACCAGCAATTTTGGTTTCTTTCATGTTTCTTCATGCTGAATTTTATCGCAGATCAAGAGAAAACCTTTAATCAATTTTGTATATAACCAGGCATTCTTTTTATTGTGTTATGTATATTGTACAGGTGAATTCAAACCAGATTCAAGAGCAGCATCATGTGCTAATGATCCTGCTCATCCTTTGGTTATCACTGTGCTCTCAGAGACAAAGGAGCAAGAGCTGCATGAGTTTCTGCCATTGACTCCTTTAATTGGAAACTTGGAAAAGTAGTTTAGACTTCACATTTTTTCTCTGTATAAAATAGCTTTAAATTGTCTTCATAAAATATCAAATGATCCTGAACGTCTTCTCCTTTCTATGACAACTTGACTGTGGTGTAGTCGTAGGCTGGAGATTCTCTGAAGCTGAAAGTGACTTTATAAAATACTGTTTTAAGAAGGGTGAATGTCAGCAATTTCTGCCAGGTGAGCTCTCAGACCATTGTTTTAGTCTTTGGTTTTAAATATGCTGCTTTGTAGCTTCTTGCCTAATTCTGTATAAATACCAAGGAAGACAAAGACACAAAACTGATAAGGCTCGGCTCAGATACTTTATGCATAGGAAAACTACGACTGTTTTTAACTAATAGAAAATCAATATCTCACATATTAATAGTTATGCACTTCTTCCCACTAACACATATTTGTCTCAAAGGTACAGCTCCATTTATTGGTGCATTTTTGGGGCTTAGTAGTAATATGATATACTCTTACTTGACGCATGCAGAAAGAGAATCAGATCCACAGTGGGTGAACAATGAGGAAACTTCATTGCTTTTACAGCTGAGTGTTCCCAGGCTATGAAACCTGCAAAGTAGAAAATTTTTGCTAGCTGTGCTAACCCTAAAAGCCAACCTCCTTTTCCAGGAATAGAAGAGTATTAATATTTAGATTTTTGTTTTTCTTGCCTCTCCAAACTGAGCTATGTTTTTGCTAGATTAGCTTGATCAGTCTGTACTCACACCAAATTATTTCAAACTGCACCTCATTTTGATAAAATGAAAATGAAATTATTGGAAAATACCGGCAATTTCTGCTACCATTTCAGCAGATCTGGTTCTGATGAAGAACATTTTACTTTACGAGGTAGATTAAAGGCCTAGCTATAAACAGGTAGTCATGACACTTGTGTCTATCCTGGGTAATTAGAATGTACCAAAGTTTGCTGTTAGGAATATCCCAAGAAGTCTGCAGGGCTGTGATCTGGTATGGATGCTGCTCCATTCATCAAAGGTTGCATTGGTGTTATTATGCATGTTCATTTCTTTGAATGCAGACACACAACAACATTTTTATTGTCCTGCATTGACCAAATTACGCCTGCAGTTAAATTAGTGAAGCATGCAAATAAATGTTTATATTAGTAAGGATGTGGGTCTCCATTTTAAGTCTCTCAGTCCACTGAGAAAAGCTAGTTTTAACAACAGCAAATTTGGAGTGCACCAAATTCAGTCTGTAATTCACTCTGATTTATAGAATCAGAGACAAGAAAATAAGATTTTGTTAAAACAATTAATATGGACAGTGGCAGAAATTAAATATTAAATCTCTGGCTATCCTAGTTTAGGGCAAATTTGGGAGAGAGCCTCCAAATGGGGTTCCCCCAGAAAAGAAAAATTCAAACGGCTCCTCCCTGCAACTGGTTTGGGAAAAAAAAATTTCCTTGGAGAGAAATGGAAAAAACCTGTTTATTTAACAGAAATTGAATAATATTAAACAATAAAACCTCTTGCTGTTTGATAAGATGGCAAATCAAGGAAGAAAAGTCCTTTTCATGTGCTGTAGCTCGACCTGCTCAGGTTCTTATCAGTCCCTCCGGTGCTGGAAAAGTGCCGAGGCCCAGGCCCCGGTGGGCCACAGGCCTGAGCTCCCGGGGTTTGGCTGGGTGTTTTTCAGTCCAGAGCAGATTTGAACTGATCCAAGGGAAAAAAAAGTCCAGGGAACTCCTCTGCCTCAGCTAGCTAAAACTAACAGTAAAAGAGAAGCTTTGTCCCACTGTCTGTCCGTGCTGCAGACACCACAGTCCAGGAGCAGGATGTGTGGGAGTGATGTTTTCCTTCAACACAAACTGCGCGCTTCTTCTTCCCCCACCTTCGCTCTCAGAGCCAGACTTAAAGGTGCAGAACTTAATATGTAACATAAACCACGTGGTTGAGGATACAGACATCATAAAGTCACCTCAGGACACTGGCCTAGTCCCAAACAGCACCTCAGTGTTTTTAATGGCTAGCTGATTCAGGGCCCTGTCTGCACTGCCAAAGAACGACAACTGAAGAGAAGATAAAAATAGAAGCAAGCTTATCCACTTAGGTAAAGATGACTTGGCAAAGAATGACCAAATAGGTATGTTTTTCTTCTGGAAATATGAATAAATGTATCTAACCAAGAATCTGCATAAAATCTGAGTAATGTCAAGAAACTGGATTTAAATCATTCAGTCTAACAATGATTCAGATTAATCAGAAATTTACAGAATCAGAGGCCCAAGTTTCTACACAAAGCTTTTATTTTCACTCTCTAGCCTAGTCTTACCTTCTCTAGTTTCACAGATACCTCAAGAAGCTCTCAAGGGCTGAAGGAAACAGTTACACTGCTCCAGAGTGTTCATTGCTGGCTGGGAGCAGTGCCCAGGGCTGGGAAGATGCTCTTCTCAAAGAGGGCAAGAGCAGCTTGCTTCCTTTGGGTTACAGCCTCAGCATATTTGTGTATTGGCTTCACTTATTGTCAGTAAAACAAAGGTCTCAGAGCAGTGTACTGTTGCCGCTGGTGCTGAATAGATCACACGGGCACAGCTCGAGGTGTGGTGAAAGGAAGAGAAAGTTTATTTATCCTCCCAGTATTTATAGGTTTCTGACCATGGCCAGGGATTGGGTAGTCAGGATAACACTTTCCCACTGCACTGGCCGTGAGAGATGTCCATGACAAGACGTGTAACAGAAGGAATGTATACCTATCTCTACGTTTACAGTTACTGTCCTGGGAAAGTCTTAGAAAACTATGTCAGCAAGCTCAGAAGCTGAGTTTTCAGGGTGACAATGTACAGGCCAGTACAAAATTCCCTGTTTTCAAGGGGAGAGTTTGGAATGAACTAATCAAATATTGCTTAAGTAGGAAAATTTCTTCCTTCCCAAATCGTTGATCTTTTATTAAAGAAATGTTGGCAGTGATCTCTTCTAGAAACAGAAACTCAGATGTTAAGCAAAATAACTTGATTTGCATTAAATAGTGTCCTTATGTGAAACATACCACAGCAAAATAAATTATTGTGATTGTTGATAGAGCAGCTTCAGTGAAAAAAAATTATTAGTTATTATTTATTACTTGTGTAATTACTTTATTACTTATTTATTAGTTATTAGTTATTACTACTTTACTGGTTGGCAAAAATAATATTGATACAATATTTTCTATAGAACTTTCAAAATATAACCAGCATATTACTGTATTTTCTTACATAGTTAGATAAAGTCAAAGTTGAAAGGGGGGAAAAAAATCCCAAACAATACCATTCCTCTGATTTTTCTCAATGTTCCAAAGAGTTCAAATCAATTCAAGTACTCTTTATTATGAACAAGGCAAACAACTTTAGCCAAACTAAATCTTCTAAGCAAACTTAGACATATAAAAAATAAATTTTCCTGTGACTTCTAATATTTTAAGGAACTAGTACAGTAAAGTTTACCACAGCCTAAGGCAATGATGATAAAACTGGGGAAAAGAGTAGATAAGGAAAGAAGAAATACAATAAGTAGTGTAGGAACTAGTAATGAAAATGGGTTTTCATAAAAGTTTTCAGGGATTAACTTGGATTTGCAGAACTGGGAATACATCTTTTGGAGATTCTAAGTCTTTTGGAGAGTAACATTTTTGTATGATTTAAAAACCAGGTCACTCTGCAATAAGATCTCTGAGGACTTTCTTGTCTGGCTCTCCTGACACCAAAGATAATGCCAAATGTTTAAATTTCATGAACAGTGCACAGGGAAAGCAATTTGTAAACTATCCATCATAGTAGGAAAAGCATGTTTTGGAAACATTTTAGGTGAATCTTGGTTTCTGAAGTGAATAGCAGAGTTTCCAGTGCTTTCAGCTAAAGTACAATTTCACCTTTGACTTTTCTGCAGTCTTCAAAAAAAAAAAAAGTCCATTATCACTTTTCTGTCTCCTAAAAGAGCCAACAGAAATATTAGTTTCCTTCCTGTGTTTTCTCAAGAGGCAGAATGGGAAATTTAGTTATACTCAAAAAGCATTTTTTTTCCCAGGGAAGGAGAAAGAAGGGATAAATAATTTTCCAAAAGCAGTGTGGAGTAATGGATTATCAAACCTCAAAATGCTGAATAAAATTTGGGGAAATTTTTGTTTTGTTTTGGGATTTGAGTGTTGGGGGGAGGGTATTGTGTTTGGTTTTTGTGGATGTTGTTTTTGTTTTCTCTTAAATTTGGATTTTTGTTAAGATCATATTTTCATCAGAAACAGGGAAGAAAACCATGATAGAACTTTATTAACAGATAAAAAACAGGTGCAAAAAATTGAGTTTTATATTGTCATTTAAAGCATAGAACAGATGAGGCTGAAATTCTATGGTTACGATGAAAATAACTTTATTTAATTGTCTGAAATGATGAAATAGGGATTGCTGAAACTGAAAATAAAATACATATTTTCCTCCAGATATGAACCACTTGTTTTATGATCAATCTTTATTACAGAATATCTCAGTCACTTTCAAAACACTGAAACACTTGTTAATCTAAACCATCTGAATGTTGTTTTGCCGGATGGGGGTTCTGAGTATGGAAGTACCCGCTCTGAGAGGGAAGCAGTGCCATCTTTGAGCTTATGTAGTCATATTACTGCTGCTAAAATTCCCATTTTCCATTTCAAGGAAAGCAGTGTTTTTTTGTGATATGAACATTATCTCAGGAATGGAGCTCTGCATCAGGAGGAAACTGTTGTTGGGTGGCCTTTACTTTCAGTTATTTATTTGTTGTTTACTTGGTCTGAATTTGTAATAGGGCCTTAAAAATATTATCAAGTGGAGTTTGAGAGCTCTCAGCAGGGTAAGAAAAACTGTAATAAGAATTATACCAACAGATATTACAAGAGGGTTATACTGTAAGAGTTGTGAGTGCTGCATTGGCTGTCATCACTCCTCACACCCTGGGTGGCAGCTCCACGGCCAGCTGTGTGTGAGGCTGTGCAAAGCAGACCAGCTGCAGGTGAACATTGCCCCTCCAAGGGGATATAATCACAGTAGCACAGGGCCAGAGCTCTCTTTATTGAGAGAGTTTTCCTGCCTGACTTTTCTGTTCCAAAAGCATGTTCCTGCCATAACAATCACACAGTGTCCAAGAACTGCTAACACTGTGTTGGTATAAAGTGAGTAAAAGGAGTTATATTAGTATACAAATACTCTTAGCAATGCATTTTTAAAGCTATCCTATAATATTCTATATTGTTTGGATCACATAATTTCAGAAATTAGGCATGTATTAGTGATTTCTAAGACAACCTCATGATTTTGGGAATTTCAGTCATTACTATTGTCACATGGGAGTACACAAGGGTGGATGATCTGAATTATGGGTGTTTCCACGGGCCAGGAAGCTCAGTTAAGGAATGGGAGTTCAGTGTCATTGGCATGAGTATATTAAAGTGCAGGCAGGCAGCTTGGTGAAAAGCAGTAGAAAAGGTGTTACCAATCCAGCTTCAGGTTGGTGACTTGGGGTGCTGGATTTTGCTTATAGGTTATACAGGGTGTATTGTCACCCTGAAAATCAGGCTTTTCAATACTGTTTTCATAATTTCTAACCACTTTCCCAGGAAAGTAACTATAAACATAAGTGTTTATACATTCCATTAAAGATATGCCTTTTGATAAATGTCTCTCATGACCAGTGTGGTTGGGAAGGTGGTAACCTGACTATCCAATCCCTGGTCATTGTCGAATACCTATAAATACTGAAAGAAGAAAATGAACTTCCTTCTTTCATCACACTTCGAGCTGTGTCTGTGTAAATCATTTCGTGTCCGACACTGACAGTGTATGAAGCTGCCTTTCCTGCTGGCTAAAGGAATACTGGCATGAGTGTGACTGCTCTCCCCATTTTTCTTCTGTGATTGTTTACATTTCTAGAAAGGTAAAACTCAAACATGAAGTAATATAGAAGGAAATTGAATCCTGCAAAGAGTAAGGATAAATAGAAGCAATTTTGCAGGTTAAGTGCAAGGAGTAATACCTGTCATTACAGACCAACAAACATTTTATTTTAGCTTTATTTCACCTGTTCATTTGGCATTTACTCTGGTTACACTTTTGCTTACTACACTGGTAATGTATGGCCCAGTGTGCCAAGGCTGCCTTTTTGCTTCATTTTCTCAAATGAGCCAATTGTAAGTTTTCTTCTTATACCTTTAAACCTCTCTTACCAAGGGGAAAAAAAAAAAAAATCTCAACCAACCTAATAAAATAACCAAGAAGTAATCTTAAAAAAGATCTTTTGAACAGGCTATTTACAAAAAATTGTAAAGTTCATATTATAAAGTGAACATTCTTGAGCTCCTGTTCAACAAAAGAAATTCAGCATTGTGATCACACTTGGAGTCAGCTAGAATAAAATGACACAAAATATTTAATAGAAGGCTTGGGAAATGATCTTGTGAACACTTTATAGGCATTCTTGGTTTTAGGAAAATGAATGATCCAACTGATTTCCAAGTGTTATGAAACTGTACCTACAGAGTTTGATATAAAGTGTTTTGAACTCAATTAAAGGGAAAGGGAAAGGGAAAAATGGCCAAGAAGGAGCAATCCAACCTTCAGAGAAAGTACAGAATCAAGCCTTTAATTTTTCTTATGTTTTTTGTTAAGATATAAAAATAAATTGTAAAGTTGATGGATTTTTCTTCCAGGCAGCACCTGACAAACCATACCTCCAAGTTAGGTATACAGTCAATATCATCCCTATAGTACTTGATCTGGTAGAAACTCAATCCTCAATAGGCACATATCTAATAGGGAATATTTTTTTCACTTGTAATTCCTATTTATGCATATACCTACATCTACCATATTTTATTTTAAAATACACATTACCTAAATATTTATACTCATTGGAGAGTAGCTGTATTTTACCAGCAGCATTTTCCTACCTGGCCTCTGCTGATTCGCCACAGAATTTTGTAATATTCACAGCTGTCAGATTTTTCAGGCTATCTGGTATTTTACAGTATGTGATCACCATTTAACGCATCCCTTGATGACAACAGTGTTTGCTCTCAGTTAAACAGAAAATTGTATTTTCAACTGATACAAACCATTATCTCTTGAATTGCAGGGAAAAGCACCTGTATCTTAAAGGATCATAGAATGGTTTGGTTTGGAAGGAATCTCAAAAACCATCTGATACCAACCCCTCTGCCATGGACTGGGACACCTTCCACTGAACCAGGTTGCTCATGGCACATTACATGGGAAAACAGATTGCAAAGGGAATTTAAAGGGTGACCTCTCCAAAGAAATGCCTTTTATCTTGCACATTTGGCAGAATATAATCATTTAAGATTTCTGACACCAGGGTAAGTCTTAATTTCAAAATGTAAATCTATAAAGTTCACTGTGAAGCATTTCTGCTATTTATTCCAAAGAAAGCTGTCTTAGCAGGGCAAAGTAAAGCAAAACATATGAATTGCTTCCTTTTTTAATACCACACAATTCATATTTGAGACCGATTGCTGAACAAGAATTTAATTGAAGAGCTCTGGAGGATTTATAAAAGAAATGCATGAGAACTTCCACAATTCCATTAGATACATAACATTTGCATAAACCTGTACAGTCAAGACCATGAGCTGCTTGAAATTTAGGATATCTTTCTGCTAACTGGTATTACACAGTTGATAGTTCAGAAGTAAGATATGGTTTGTCTTCAAGACCTGAGTTTTCAAATGTCCTAAAGTAATTTGTTAAATTATATAACCTATTACAATACTCCCTATTATTTACCCAAATCATACGTTCAGAAGCATATGGACTAAGATGGAGGGGTGGCCTTGAAACCAAAAGCTGTAAAGATAAAAATCCTCATATTGGATCTGAATACAACAGCTGGTGAAATTCTGATTCTTTGACACAAAGTCTTGAATTCTTTTGCTTCAGTAAGAGCAGGTGACTTTCAGGAACTCTGTGATTTGGTTCATAATTTTATAGGCCATTTCAATTCTTTTATCTTTATCATAGTGTTTGTATAACAAATAATACAAGTCCTAAAAACCCCAAACTTCTAACCCTCTAACTGAGATTAGAGGTTATAATGAATCCAGATTAGAACTGTAAGCAAGTCCTAATTTCAAACCCCCTCGACACTACTTACATGTTGGGCACATTGTGTGTGAAGTTACAGCTTTATGAAAGTCTAATAATTTTGTAAGAATAGCCTACTCTATTGATTTAAAATGGGAGAATGGAGTTCTTCCATTCAAACAAGGATTAAGCCAGTCTGTTTTCCTCCGTGAGAGATACACTGTGCAATGATTTTTAAAATAGCTGATTTAAATAATAATATCAAATCCTATAAAACAAATGGTCTATGAGCAGCTTCATAGAATACCACCTCCTCTATTATGTTCATATATTAGCAGTCTATAAATCTATGCCACTTATTATTCGCTGCTTTAGCATATTACAACCAAAATCTAAACACTGCTCAGCATTCTTTCTGTCACAATTAAGCAATTATGAGCTGAACTTCTGCTTTTGCTGTTGTATTTTCAGTTTAAAGGTTATTATTTCTTCGGTAATTGAGTTTTACTGGTTCTGCATAATTTGCATTAATTGCAGTAATTAATGGTAATATTAATCTGCCTCTGTTGTGTACCCAAAATTTGAGCTTGTGACAATTCTTCGTGAGTATTGGAAAGGACAGATAATGTAATATGAATAGCTTACAAAAACTGGTCTTAAGTTTGTCAATGATAAATTTTAATGGAGACAAATAATTAGAGCTATTATTGCAGCAAGAAGGGCTTTAAAATTTAATTTGCTTCTGCCTTTCACACTGAAAAATAATTTAATTTTTCCATAAAGCATAATACTTTGACTCCACAAGATCTGTAGTAGATACTGCTAGAGAGAGATAGAATTAGAGAGTCATGCGGTGTTTTCCATATATTTTGTTCTCTGTGGTGTATTCACAGAATGTAATTGGTGATGCAGGTAAAAGCATGATTTACCCAACATCTTGGTGGATTAGCATGTAGCAATAAAGGTTACATGTATGCATTGACATGTCTTTATCCTTATTTACATGCACCAAACTTACCATACCTGCATATTTTTGAAGTAATAAATTCCCTGACAGTGCAGTCTTATCATAATGCTCTTGTATGTGGTCAGAAGGAAATTATTTCTTAAAGCCCAGCAAACTTTGATCATATGCACACAGCAAATTTGCATCTTTGGTGTATAAAGTCATAGTTGTATCTTGCTAGCTATGTTTCAGTTTCTTGATTTTCTGATGGATTCTTTCAGATGCTTTTAAATATTTAAAAGAAATCTTGGAAATACTGTATGTGACTGTTTCATTCCTTTCAGGAGAAAAACTGCTGCATATAAAAATGTTTTGAATCTGGATGTGGCAGCTGGAGCCAGCCATGCTGGGAGCAGGTGTTCCACAAGCTTTTCCCCACAGCTCTTCTGGCAGAGCTCTTTCTGCTCCAGCCAAATTCTTGTCATTTCATTACTGGCTGTCTCCTGGACAGCCTGGCAATTGGGCCAGCTTTCTTTTGTGTTGATAAAGACCAAATTGGACTAGGTGGCAACTATTTAATTTGTCTCATTTCTGAAACTCCTGCATGTGGGTATTGTCATGGCCCCAAGGGCAGCTGTAGGCTTTAAATGCCCTGAGCAGCCTGCTCTGCCTCCCTTTTCCCTGTTTCTTTTCCATTTGAGCTTACCTGCCTCCCTGGTATGTGCCATAGGTGTTCCAGGCTCTCTTGTATCTATCACATGGCCTGTTCTCCCTGCTCAGACTCTGTGGGGTGGTGCCAGCTGGTGAGGGCATAGCCTGTGCTGCCCTTGCCTTTGGCTCCTGCTCATCCTCCATGGAGCTGCTTCTGATGCTCCTTGAGAGGTGTTACAAGGAATCCAACATTTTGCTGTTCTTTACAGAAAGCTCAGAAATGCTAGAGAACTTGCACAGTCACCAATTTGATCCAGAGAAGTGGAAGAAACTTTCTACAGCTAGATAACTGCAGAAGTTTATTTCCTTTGCGATCCCTTAGGTAATTTTGAATACATAAGTTTAAGTGACCAACTCAGGGTCATAAAAGAGCCATGTGGCTCAAGGCAGAAATTCAAACCTTAATCCCCTTGTTCCAAATCTTCTCAATTTGTGAAGTGGCTTCATATGAGAAAAGAGGCAATTAATTAAAAGCTGTTAGTATTGATTTTATAGATGGTACTGAGAACTCAAGCAGTATCTGTCTAATTCAAGTCTTCTGTATTCACATCTACTCAGAAAACAGGCATTGTAATGTAGGAAGGAAATGCATTTATATCCTACTGAGTCATGTGTTTTAGCGCCTTTTCTATAAAATAAATGCACTCAATCTTTTCTTCTCAAGCCCTTGGAGGAATTCTAAAAAGAGAAAAGCCATTGTTAGAAGAAAACTGTCTTAAGTACCTGCCATTGAGATAAACTTGTATTTGTCTTCTGGCTGCAAAAGGGCACAGGCTTCTGCTAATGTACATTTGTACTCTGTCTCCTCTTTCCCCAGAAATCCTGCCTTCTTACAGCGTGGTTCCTTCAAACTCGGTGTATTTTGTGCCTGTCCATTAATTATACCCTCAAGACATTAGAAGCCTTTAAATGTAAGTGTGCAGGTTTTGCTCAGACATAAAGAGATCTGTGTCCTCAAGAGGGGAATCAAAGGGCAATTATCACAGCCAAGTTTTGGCACAGCTACATATGTCCTGTGAGCCTCACCTTTTGGTATGAAACAAAAAGAAAATGGCAAAATAAAACTCTGCTCCATGTTTATATGGCCCTTCTTACAGCATCACTGGTAAGATTGGAGCTTTGTAAACTAATTCATTCAAATTCTCTGAAAGTTTTTGTTATTTGTTCAACAAAACCCATCTGGAAATCTCAAACAGTAACCATTTCCCGCCTGCTCCCCCAGATCATGGTTCAAATCAGCACAAACGCAGTGTTTCCGTACTCAAGTGTTCAGAAGTGCCCTGTCAGTCTCTGGCAGGTGTTCATCACAGGAGGTGCCTCAATGATATCTCTTAACCAGGTTCTTTAAACTATTCTATTTTGAAATCTCTTACCATTATTCATTTAATTTCTGGCAATGCAGTTTACAGCATTTCATATGAACCTGTGCCAAAACAGATGTAAATGCACTTAATTATTTTTGTTTTAATTTCCTCTTGAAGATTCATTTTTAATCAAAGCTATCCTTTGTAAACCTTACCTACCCTTCATTTCTTTCCCAGAGGGCTCATCTGAGGTCCACTGAACTCAGAGGGAATATTTCAGTGTACTGTAAAGGCTTTCAATGAGCTTTCAAACGCTGCCTTCCATGTGAAAAACAAGCAGACATCAGGATCTTTTCTTTTTTTTCTATTTTTTTTAATAGGTTAACGCTAACTTTGAATCATGTGCATTCACTGAGACTTTAAATGCTGTTAATTTAGAACTTCTCAGATGCTTTATAGCATTTTCTATTTGCAGGTCTTATATGTGAGCCTCCTCAGTTTGCTCAGAAGTACTCACCTCTCTCTGAAGATGAATTTTTACAAATATATTTTCTTCTTTATTTGTAAACTGTTTGCTTTAACAAAGCAAAAATTTTCATTGCTGGGATCATGGGATATTGATTTTCATTTAGGAGTGGATTGTTCAGGTTTCTTTCTAATACTAGAAAAATGGTTAATCTCTGATAAAGTTATTTTCTTAAATGAATAATTGAAAACAACACCAAAAAACCCCACAGTGTTTTGGATAGGTATTGTTGCTTTCAACGTTTTTGAAGACCACAGTATCAAGAATATAGATGATATGGAATCCTCTGTGTCTGTAAACACTGGCAAACCACCAGTGCCTTCCAATCTACCTTCTGGTTTAATCAAACCTAATCAAATATGGAACAAACACCATGGGAAGAAAAAAACCATCCCCACAGCTGACCTTCATGCAATTCCATTTCATGATGACTTTTTATTCTTTCAGTTCTAAGTATGCAGTTAATAGAAGAAGAGGTAAAGGGCAATCAGTTTCCTGCCAGTAACTCAGGGGTCAGAATTTCAGGTAAATTAGATAATTAACAGTCCCTAAAGCAGACCCACAGTAGAAAGGGAATTTAGGAACTAATAAAAGACATTTATAAAATTATGCATAGGAACTGGAGGTGCTTGGGAAAATTCAGCAGCCTTTTAATTAAAGGAACTAACGCTATAGAACTCATAAATGACAAAGCAAGCCCATCTTCGGGAAACAAAGTCTGAAACAGCTCCATCTTCCAGCCTCTGATTTCCATGTGTGATTGTAAAGTTTCAATAGTAAAATCACAATTAAAGATCAAGAAAGGAGTATTTTTGTAAGAAATAACAATTAATGTTGTCCACCACAGAATCAAGGTGTGTATTATTGAGGTCTGTAACTTGTAGCTAGCAGGCTGTATGCACAGGATAATATCCTTCTATAGTGTAAGCAGAGATAAACACATTGTAGGATCCTAGGAAAGAATGGCCTCAGCTTTAAGTTATACAGTGTGGCAAGGGATAAATTATGGTAAAATACCGATATATTTACTACCAGGGTGGTTTTTCGGTATGTGGTGTTTTGGTTTTTTGGATTTTTGTTTGTTTGGGGTTTTCTGTGGGGAGAGTGGTGAGGTTCATTTGTTTATTTTTCAGAATATATTCCCTGTTCTTGTGATTACAAGGGTTTACATTGCAAGTAGTAGCTGGTAGAAAACTTGTTAAATAAAAGTAAACTGACAGAAGACAAGGGATGAAGGAAAAGGCATTTGTATGACCATGACAAGATAATGATCAAGTTCTTGGGAAAAATGAAACAGAACAGTTCTGTTGCTTCAATTAAAAATGAGAGTTTACTCTCTGACTTGGTTTTTATAGCTCAAAAATATGGCCACAAGTGTTGGAGTCTGAGATGCAGAGTGTGTGCCCTTGTTTCTGATACTTAGTTCTAAGATCCAGAAAAACACTGAATTTCATATGACATGAAATTCATGAGCATGTTTTCATGGTGATACATGAGAACAAATGTTAAAGTTAGATAGAAAAAGATGAAAGTGTAAGTGTGTAGATTAGAAAGTTTTCTTAAGTCACTGGGTTAAAAAGTTAGTTTAGAGAACAGAAGACAAGATGGAAGATTTAGGGTGTTGTCTCTTGTCCTTCTTCTTTCTTCTTCATGTTCTTCTAGAGGTTTTTGGATAATAGTAAGCGATTGGACAGAAAATGCTGCAGTGCAGAACACAGGTGTTGGGTCATTGGGTCATTAAGAAAAATAATATATGTGTCTATTGTTAATTGGGTAAGAATAAGTATAAAGATAAAAGAACTGCGTAATTTGGGGCCATTTTGTGCTTTCAAACACAAAGTGAGCCACAAGGCCTTGTTGTACCATCAGAAGAAAGAAATGTACCAGATTGCAAAGAATTAAGCTTGTGTAGCCAGTCTGGAGAGACCTGCCAAGTTTTGTAATGACCTTCTAATAAACAGGAGAAACAAGATTCTAACGAGCTCGGGAGTTTTCTTCAAAACCAGAGAATAGAGATAAGCAGGGCTTCCCATGAGGGAGGATCCCAAAAGAATTCAGCCCAGAGGAGACTGAGAAATCCAGGAGGAGAAAGAAAAATAGAGAAGTGCAGCAGAATCAGAGAAAGAGATAAAGATTTTTTTAGAGAAAAGTTACAAGGGTGTAAGTTTGATTTTTAGTGATGTTGCAGAAAATGTATAATGTAGCAAAAGGCTAGTATTTTGTTTACATAACTATCAGTGATTCTATTTATTAAAGAAAATTTAGGAGGATCAAAATAACATTTGTTTGCAGAAAAATATGATACCTCGTCTAATAAATGTGCAAGTTGGCAAAAGTCTATTCAAGTCTGCTTTTCCACCAGCAAAGGAGATAGCACTGGAAAGAGGAGAGTTTTGTCATAATTCTGCAACGCAACATTGCTGTTGGATTAAGTTCAAACACACTGCTGGAGATGAGTCTAATTATCCAAGCCCCAAATATTTTCATTTAGATTCAGTTCAGAGTAAGTCATGGTATCAGATTTCTAACAAATTACAGGATGGGAGGTTTTTATCAAGTACCTGACACCTGAAGGTCAGCTGTGGTCCTTCTGCTTTACAGAACTGTGAAATACTGTCCAGGATGTTGCCCTAATCCCAAGTGAAGTTGTACCTAGGCCTAAACTCAGGTCTTGCAGTGCAAAAGGGACAAGACGGGTGGGAGAAAAACACCTCTGTGATGTCCTGAGCCCTAGAAATAAGATGTTACTTGGTCTTTACCTTTCATCCCACACTGCCAGGCATCTCCACTTCTGGAACACTGCGGTGACACCTGCATTTCTTGCCTGAGCTGGACACCATGTGCTGTGGGGAACTCACAAGACTTAATCAGCAATCAAGATGTATCCCAAATATGGGGAAGCAATTACATTGTAATAATGCAATATAATAAATTAAGGTCATATTGGCAACAATCAATTTGAATAATTTAATACCACTGAAAACCAATATTACCAATATTGGTAATACCAATAAAACCAATGCCTGTTGAAACATTCATTACAATAATCGTTTAGACTATATGAAAAGCTTATAATTCGGTATGAATATTACCAACCTCTATTTCTCAGGCAGCTAGAAAATTATTAGAACTGATGATTTTGTATGTAATATGGAAATTAGCTTCTTAATGGTAGAGAATGTTTTATGGCAGTGAAGATATAGAAACCGGATTTGTACTAGCAATTACGAACTGCAATAAGGTATTGTGTACTGAAAAGTTTCTTCCTAAGTCAATATTATTAACAAAGTTGAGGGTTTTTTATTTGTAGACTAACAATGGGTTTGATAGCCTTTTTTTGTTTGTTTTGCTTTAAAATTAAATAAACAAATGAAAATTTTTACAGTTGGCTGTAGAAGTGAGACTGAGCAGTGGCAACATGGTTAATGACCTAAAGAAGTTTGTATTCAATTGAGGCCTTTGATGACCTTTGGTCTCTTCTAAGGGTCTTGCTGTGTTTGGGCCCCAGGACCTCATCTTTAAAAAGAGTACAATGTGTTGCCTATGATTTTTTTTATTTATTTTGATTTTTTTGTTTGTTTTGTTTTGGGTTTTTTTGTTTGCCTGTTTGTTGTGAGCTGCTTTGAACAGAGCTTGTCTTTGTGCAGTACGGTGCAGAGTGGTCCAGTGTTGGCTGTTATACTCTAATAAAAAAATCAAATATGCTTTCTTCAACTTTTAACTTCAGAAACAAGGAAATGTTTCTTTCAAATATTCTAGAAAGGATAAGGCATATTGCCTGGAATGACACTGTTGTAGCATGACATGTCTGTAAAGTCACTGACAGTCTTGTACTGAATTATTTTTATATTGTGTTCTTAAGAATGTCTCATGATAGGTGGACAGCAGTAGATATTTCCTTCATAAAGCACTTCAGCAAATTCATCAATATACTTAGTTCCTTAATTTCTTGGGCACCCTTAATGACTTCATAATTATAAATATTATAGAGGTCAAAGGGTCTTTTCATCCCAGCAGTAGAAAAATATTTAATTTTGTTTCTTCTCCATCTGGAGTTAGAGGAAAAATATTGCTACAGTTTCTTACTTAGACATTGATCCTTGGGCTTTTGGGTGTTTTATAATGTTTTCTAGCTATGGCTTATTAGTACACTCTAGTATGTTTCACTTCTCCTATTGACTTTTGGAAAGCACAACAAAATGCAGTTCAGGACATGCATCTTTGTTCTTTTTTACTTCTCTATTACAGTGCAGTTCAGAGTTTCAGAATAGCTGTAGATCTGTGAGCTCTGTACATACCCCAGTAAGTGAAAGTGTGCACAGCAGATGCTTCTGAAATCCATGGAGAATTTTGGGAACTCTGGCAGTACGCAGAAGGAATATTACTTACAAATATATCTCTAAATGATTACATTATTAAAAAAAAAAACAAAAAGAAAAAGAAAAGCAACTAGAAAGATGTATCTGTCTCACTAGCTTGGCACCTACTTTATATTTGTAGTTGGGCTATTCAGAAATCAGTCTTTATATTAATTTTAAGAACATTGACACTTATAGTTTGCAATTACATTGCTCAAGATGCAGTTGTATGAGAGACGACAAAGGAAAACATCTCTCAAATATTCTTGAATGAGCACACCTTTTTCATTACTTATTTACTAAGTTTTAGAAATCTGCTAAGTGCTTTAAAGTGTACAGGGAGAGTGCTTCCAAAAAAATACCTTAGAATGAGCTATCCTTTCCATTCTGATCTAATGCCTTGGTCACTCAGGTGATACCAGCCTATGATTTCAGGTGGTGGCAGAAGGAGTAGCTTTGCTCTCCTAAAAGGGAGCAGTGTCAGAGGGTCTAAACTGATCTCTTCTTGCAGGAACTTGCTGCTCTGGAGACAAGTGGTTGGAGCCAACAGAGTCTGCTTAAAGATCAGTTAGAGCTGCTGTAAAAAGATGCTGCCTTATAAGCAGCATGATTAAGCTGTGATTACATATTTATGAAAACATAACTGAGCTGAGTGAAGACTTAATTTTGCTCTATTATAAATGGAAACAAGGGGGTTGCATTGTTTTTCTTTTTTTTTCTTTTTTTTTTTTTCTTTTTTGTGGAAAATGTCTGGAATTTTCACAAAAAAAAACCAACAAAAGACGTTCCAGAAATGTTAATTTCATATTGAAAATTATTTCAGTAAAATAAATCTCCTCAAGCACAAATAGATGTAAATAAAATTAGATCCGAATGCAGTTTGATTAAAAGTTGTCAGGGAAAGGGGAAAAAAGAATAAGAATGATTTCTGCATTTACAGAAAGTACTAAACATATGGACAATGAGACAATTCCAGTAAATTAGCAGCCTGCTTAATTCATTAAGAATTCATCTCTTGGGTAATTCCTGAAATTGAAAATGTTGACAGCCTATTACCAAAATGTCTAATCCTAATGTGGAGTTGAGGGTTTTTCCTGTTAGGGTCAATGACTCCTTAGAGTCAGAGAAAAGACAAATGCTGCCACCCTGTAGTTTGCCAGAATGTGTTTTTTACCATTAAATTATAAGAATATAAGGAATATAAGGAAGAATATAAGGAAGGCCATGTTGACATCAGCCCGATATCTAAGTTTCTGAGTAATGGGATGCCAGAAATCTATAATGCTTTGTCTTTGAAAAGTTGAGATTCCATGTCTACTGCCAGAAATGATCACATACATTTCTATTTCCTTTTTTTTAAAAAAATGGTATCTGTGACATAGCTGCATGATAAAAAATTCTGAGATTGTGCAAAATGGGCCTTTCTGGAAAAAAAAAAAATATTAGTCATGTGAAAGACAGTTGCTTTGCTTTCTTATCGCTACCATCTCTATTAAGCAGCATTTGCCACAGCCAGAGCCACTGTGCAACTGAAAAAAAAATATCACATGTGAGGGGTTTTTTATCCTTTTTTAATTGATATCTTTCACTGCTGAATGTTTCAATTTTGTGCTCATCTAATTCTCTATGTTGCTATGAATCTTCTGGATTGTAGCTTTGACTGTGAATAACAGGGTAGGAGCCAACTCCTTAATTCGAGTGCAATTTAATTTTCAAATCTATAGATAGAGTAGTTGTCAGAAGAAAGTTTGAAAATTAATGTATTTTTCTATAAATAATGCAGTTCTAACTGATGGTGTAATCTCCCACAGTATTAATCTTTAATGATCAACTGTTTTCACATTTTTCTAGGTCTACTCAGAATAAAAATTACAAAATAGACAGTTACAAACAGTATCTGGTATTCCCCAACTCACCTTTCTTTTAATGTCTGACAAATATCTTCAGTATAGGAAGACACTTTGTAAATTTAAAAACAAGCAAACACACAAAACAAACAGTAATCTGCTCAGATCAGTATACTGGAATTTAAAATCAAACATTAAATAGCACCTAGCACTGCAGTGTAGATA